AAATTTAAATGAATTTTATTTTTTAAAAATTGGAATAGTATATATATATTTTTTTTTCTTTTGTTTTCAAAATTTATTCGAAAATGAAAAAAGTATTCAAATTCAAAAATTTGCTTGTAGTATATTTATATATACATACATATATATATATAGTCAGAATTTAGTGAAATTTTACTGATTTTCATGGGAATTTCACTTTTTGCTCATTTAAAAAAGCTCATTCAAAAAAGTTAATGATTGATTAATTAATTAAAAGTGAATGTGAATGAATAAAAAAAAATATTATTTATTTCTCGACTCGGTAATTTTTATTTTATTGATTTTTACGATTTTTTTTTTTTTTTTTTACCCTGGGGTCAAGGCTAACAAAATCAATATTAAATTTATTATTCTAATCTATTGTTATTGATTTTTATCCCAAATAATCATTTTTAATTTTTTTTGTCCGTAGAATTCCGTCCATTTTATTATTATCATTATTTTTTAATTTATAATAAATTTTAAAATGGTTCATTTTTTAATTACGCTCGGGTGAATTTTTTTATTTAAAAAGTAATAAAATTTTCATTATTATTATTATTATTGTTATAATAATTTTATTTAAAAATAAAAAATTACCGAGTCGGCGGTTACATATTAAAGATAATAAATATATACTTGGTATATAATTTAACGAAATAGTTTAAAAAAAAAAAAAAAAAAAATTTATTAGTATTGAATGCAACTGGTTAATTTTAATTTACAATAATTTTATTCAAATTAAATATTTTTTTTGTTATAAATTAAATATCGTTTATTCGATGCCTAGAAGAATAATAATAATAATAACGTGGAAATTTTTAATGAGGGAACAATTTATTTTATTTTCTTTTATTTTTAATTAAATTAATTAATTTTTATCGCTTTAATTTTTTTTTTTTTTTTTTTTTTTTTAAAATAAAAATGTAATAATAATAGAATAATTATGTCAATTTTTTAGTCCGAAGAATAAAATTGACAATAATTTATGAGGTTGTAAATTAGAAAAAAAAAAAAAAAAAAAAACTAATAAAAGCAATATTTATATTATACGATACTTTACACGAAACAATTAACGGTAAAATTTTGTTGCCGAATCCGTCTTTTGTATTGTTCTTTTTTTTTTGTTTGTTTGTTTGTTTAAATAGAATTATTATTAACTATTATGGTAATATAATTATGTAATACATATATATTGTTATTTAAAAATGAAATTGTTGAATTTGACTTATTGCATTGTAAGGACAATAAACAAATAAATGTATTGTAAATTTATATTTATTTATTATCTACAATTCATTTATTAATTTTTATTTTTTTATATTTTAAAGAATTTTTTTTTATCCATATTATAAGCATCTGGGTAAAGAATAAAAAAAAAAAAAAAAAATTTTTTTTTTGGTAATGGCGATACGAGATATGATATAAATATTTAAATTTAGTTACATATCTCTCTAATTTGATTAAGTTTGTGAATCTTAATTATTATTATTATTATTATTATTACTTCGGTATTTTGAGAAAATAAATAAAATAAAATAGAATGAAAAACATTTGATTGAAATTATTATCGTTTACGTAATGAAAAATAAATAAATAATTAATTTTTTTTTCTCTTGTTGCCAGTAATTTATCGATCGGGCACACAACAACAACAACAAAAAATATTTACATTGTTTTATTTATAATATTATATTATATTTTATTATTATTACTCACACAATGATCATTGAAGCTCAATAATAATTCACACATTATCATAAATAATATTTTCATATAGCATTTAAAATAAATAATTTATTAGGTACACGTATTTATATTTAATAATTAATCACACAGTGTGTATAATTCCACGGATAAAAAAAAAACAATGAGTAAAAATTAAAAATTAAATTATTTAACGGTTGACAAAGTTTTAAAATATCATCTAATTGCATTTCTAAGCTAGACAAAAAAATTTTTTTTCGAAAGGCTGTTAATTGTTATTAATTACTTTTAATAAACACAATTAAAGAGATTTTGTTGTTGTTTGTAGGTTTTTGTTTTTTTTTTTTTATAAAGCTTGGGTTTTATTTTATAATAATATTTTTTTTTTTTTTTGTTATTTGTTGTAATTAGCTAATGAGCAAAAAATTATGGTTGATGATTACATATATATTTACGCTTCTACTAAACTTAAGTCTTTAAGTGCTTGCCGAATGTGGTTTTCAAGAGGATCATCGGAATCAACTTCCGGATGTCGGTATCCTTTTAAAAAATAACAGGTTCCAGGAATTTCCGGTGGAAAACCACGAGGCAAACATTCTCTTGGTCGAGGTTCCATTGTAAATGTATTTTCATCTTTTAAACAGCTAGAAAAAAAATAAAAAACGAATAATTTTTAAGTGTGTGCGTGTGTGTAAATTTGATTTTTTTTTTTTTTTTTTTTAATTTATTCGGAAGTACAGTTAA